AAACATGCCTTTGACTCCAAACCTGACATTTAGACTAATTGTTTTCAACTTGCCTTGGGCAGCTAGCGTGCTATCCTTAGTCCTCAGGCTGTTTTATTCTGCTTTTGACTCCAGTCTTGCCCTCCCACACTATTTCCATTTTTTATCCTTCTGCAGAAAAGTTATAGTATGGAAATTTAAAATTCTTTTCTTAATAACTAACTACAAAATACATACTATTCAGTATTAACTCAAGGACACTTTGCGATTAAACTTTTAAACTTTAAAAAAATGTTTCATAGAACTCACTTTTATTACATAGCAGAAAATTTTATATGACCCTAAAAAGTGTGAATGTCACATAAACACCAGATGGTTGGGACGTGGGGAAAAGAGGGGCGTGTCTCAGGGCATGGGCCCAAAGCAACATTTACTAACCAAATTTTCGTGTCTTTTTAAACTACATTGTATCAACTTCCTAATTTGTGTGCAATTTGTAATAATATCCACTAAAGCCAATTATTGTGAAATATGCTGCTGTTCTTACATAATTAAAATGTAACCTCACATTATAAAAATAAAAAGAGGAAAGAAATTGAGACTTGGAAAAGATAAGAAAACAATAAAGAGAATGGGAGAGAGGAAACGACAATGCTGAGGAAGGCAATCTGCTTACACTGTTCAATAGGGAGCAAAGAAGTGATTGGAGATTTCCTTTAGTTTCTGAAATCCATAGAGAAAATCCCTAGGACTCCACTCTTTATTTGAAAATAAGGTTGACTCTTCATATGATCTGTCTATGTGTGATGTGCATGACTGCAAATTACAGTTAGAATTAGAGTCTTTTGGCAGTATGGGGTTAATGGCGAGCTACTTCCAGAACACTTGACCTGTAATTATTTTTGGTTTAGAACTGCAGACATCGTACTATAGTGATACATGAATACTATAGTGATACATGCATACCCATGCAGTCCAATTCACAAAAGCAAACATTAAAAGGTGAAATGATTGCTGATGATGGAGCGTCTGTTTTGCCGGGATACTCTGAAACAAGTGGTATACTTTTCCAGGTGCTTCCTAAGAAGGTGATTTTGGTTCACCTTCCTAAGAAGGTGATTCATGGCATGGCTTTGCCATGAAGTACCCCTTATTGTAGAAAAGAAGATAGCTCTTCAAGATCTCCTTTACAATTAGATCAACTTAAAAGCTTCTGCACAAGCAAGAGAAACAATCTCCAGAAAAGACAGTCTGCAGAATGAGAAAAAATGTTGCCAGCTACTCTTCTGATGAAGGATTAATATGTAGAATGTGTAAAGAACTAAAAGGCAATTACCTCCCCGAAAAGTGTTCTAATGAAAAAATGGGCAAACGAAACTAGACCATTCTAAAAGGAAGTATAGTTGGCCAGTAAATACATGAAAACTGTTCATCATCCTTAGCCTTTAGGGAAATGCAAATCAAAACAAAGCTGAGATTTGATCTCGTCCCAGTAAGAATGGTCGTGATCAATAAGACAGAAAGCAATAAATCCTGGCAAAAATGTGAGGAAAAAGTAACCTTGCTTTGTGGTTGGCAGAAATGTAAACAACTCACACAACGGCTATGGAAAACGTTATGGAGATTCCTCAAAAAACTAAAACTAGAAATTTCATTTGACACAGCTATTCCTCTTCTGGGTATATTCTTGCAAGAATTAAAGATATCATACTATTTTAGTGATACATATATACTCGTTTTTATAGTTGTGCAATTCACAACAGCTAAGCTCTGGAAACAGCCCAGAAGTCTATCAACAGATGAATGATAAAGAAAACATGATGCATATGTTCACAAGAAGATATTATTCAGCTATAAAGATGAGAGAAATCATGTCACTTGTAGAAAAATAGATGGAATTTGAGACCATAATATTAAGTAAAATAATTCAGACACAGGAAGTTAAATATCACATAATTTCTTTTATAGAAGAAACCTAAAATATAAATAAATAAATAAATAAAGCAAAGAAGAGATGGTAGAAAACAAGAAGGAAGACATTTTGGAGATAAGAAAAAGGGTTGAACAGGGAGAGGTAAAGGAGAAAGGAGTAAAGGATAGAAAATAATCAAGACATGTTATATACACACATAACTCCCCCAAGGAAACGCAACTATTATGTATTGCAAAAATACACTCATATACTACAAATGGTACACTAAGGATATCTTATTAAGGCTTATTATCCTCTTAAAATTTCATTTTCAGTTAATAATTAATTCCAATATTTTGAAACTTCCTTGAAGGGGTTATTTTTTTCAAAGCTTTCAGACATTTGAAATTATTGTGAGACTCCTCCAGGGTCTCGAGCCACTGTTACATTCTTGCTGAGACAGTACTGCCATAGGGGCAATTCTACCAAACACCAAATCTGACTTTGAGAAAAGCAGTGAGGTGTGGGAGCCAATCAACATCCCAATCTGCTTTTTAAAAGTGTGATTAATGATCTTATCAGGACACAAGAAAGTGACAAATGTTTCAGCATTGAGCTAAATGATTTCATTTTGTCAGGCAAAATATACAACTTTGAGTTGAAAAAATGAAAAAAAGCAAAAATGAAAACAGAACGAACAAGCTATATATTTTTCTAAAATACCCTATAACTTTCACATTTTATATTACCTTTATGAACACATTTGTCAAATTCTTTTTGGTAGAGTAGAAAAATAAAATTTAATGGAGTACTGGAACAGTTTTCAAGCATAGATAGTTCTCTGTTTTTCAATTGTAACATTAGAATTCTAATTATGCATGATGCCAGAAAGCTAGGAAGGCTATTTCCAGTTTTTATCTGTGTCTTCATTTTTTATCATTGGCAGAAGCATTTACTAGGCACAGAAATATGGCTTAAACTTTCAAGTCTGACATGACAAAGAGAATCTGAAAAAGGAAATCAAGGGGAAAATGGAATAAAAGGTTTACTGCTTCCCGAAAGGCAATCTCTCCAACAGCATTTCCTTGTGGCCTCAAATCAAAGGGACTAGATAAGTAGTTCCTCCCACCATCCTGGGAAAAGTGCAATGCACAGGGGATTGATTTTGCAGTGTATTAAGAAAGGAGTACGGGAATCATGAGATTGCAGATGTGGTCGAGATAAGGTCAGTCACCGTCCATTTCATTCATTCATTCATTCATTCATCCATCCATTCATTCATCTTTTCATTCATACAAACCTTTAGGGAGAACCTACTATGAGCCAAGCTTTGTATTATGCACTGGAAAAGCAAACATCATTACAGTGCAGTTTTTGACCTCAAACCATAGTCTATTTCAGGGTGGAGCGCAGATAAGCAACAACACAACATGGCAAAGTTGCAGCTAAAGTGTCAATGAGTGTGGCTGGAGTGAGGGAAATGGAAAATTCCATTTGATTTTGGTATGTGGGAAATGTTTCAACAGAAAAACTGTAGGTGGCTTCTGAAGAATGAATAGAGATTGAAATATAACAGGTGAAATGACAGGGAGAGGACTGATATTTTTAGTTATTCAGTTAAGTTAGATCTTGGCTGGCAAACTTGGCATGGTTCACCTTGAAAATCCAACAGAAGCAAAGGAACAGCTGCCATCTGCCTTCTTATGTATCCGATACCAGGACTGTTTTATGTATACCATCTTCTTATTTTTACCATAAGCATGTGGTTAACTATTATGCCCATTTTATTACTAAGGACACCAAACTCAGAGAGCCTAAGCAGATGCTTCCATCACACAGATTTAAATCCACCTTTGTTTCACGTCCTGTGAACAAGGAAGTTCTTAGTCCAACTGTACAGTTTATAGACCACTGCAAACCTAAAACTTGTCCTGGGTAGCCAAAGAAAAGTATAATCTTAAAAATTGATGTGCAGCTTCTATTTCCTATTGTGAAGAAAAGAACACACACTCATATACACACATATACAAACACACACACAGACTCACACATATCTGAAATAGGAGCTGGTGGGTTCCGAAATGTGCATACTGACTGAAAAGTTGCTGAAGTCAGGTAAACTATGTAGCAGGTCCATGTGGCTCAAGGCAAACCATCACTGTTCTTTGAACCTTCTTGCTAGGTAGAACTTACCTTTTTATTTAATTTCTTTTTTTTTTTTTGGTCCAGCCTGCTAAGAAAAATTTAAATAGACAGATAAATGTAAAAATTTACATATCTGTCTTGTAATTCAATGGGATTCACTTCACAAGTCTACTACAATTAAAACTTTGTAATGCCTCCAATTATAATTTCAATGAGACATTGCCATCTAGAGGTATTTCAAAGGGTTCCTCTGACTGTGTCATAGCAAGAACCAGATTCAGGACAGGCATTTTGAAGTCACATGGTAGATTATAGTAAAATTTAATACTGTAAAGACACTACTGTATTTAAGTATAATAAATAAATTGCCTGATGTTGTAGCCAATGACTCTTTCAATTTGTTATTTGCAAACGGTTAGTGTTACCTTTAAAATATTCTTAAAATATCTTCAGATAAAATATTTAAAGATAATGCGATCTTTGAAATTCAAAATCTAAAGTTGTTTTAAGGTATTTTCTTTGTTTTAGAAAGTATTCACTCTTTGATTTCTGCTATTTTTCACCAAGATGGTGCATCATATAGTGAGGACAGTCACTGTTTTAAAGGGGAAAAGACAAACATTTACAGAATATTTTTCAAATATTCATTGATTGGATTGGTTCCAAAAGTATTTTAAGTGGCTGTGGGAATACTCTTTTCTTCTGAAAGACAGCTGTTCGTAACAGAAAGTCACAGGTCACTTTATGTGGTATGCAATTGTGTTGGACTACGAGTATCTGCAATGGGAAAAAGGGATACCGTGTGATTCCTAGATGTGCATACAGTGGAGTTTGAGAACGTGAGTGCAGGGTCAGCACTTAATTAGAAATAGGCTTTTATCTAACATAAAATATTACTGTTTTCTCTGTTCTCTGCAAAACTTCTCCTTTTACATCTCTGTCTCCCATCTATTTGAGGCTAGCATTGGTTTGCTTGTTTGTCTGGTTTTGGTTTTATGTTTTAATCTTCCGCTGCTGAACTGGAAAGTTAGCTCTGGGTAACTTGAGGTTCAACTCCACACTGACTGTTTTCTCCACCTTGGCAATCTGAAACTTTGCAGGGCTTTAATTCCCCCCATCACTGGGAGATTCTTGGAGTCACTGTTGAAGAAGGGTGGTATGGAAGATGTTGTGAATCCAAATTTTTGAATGAAGATCATCAGGTGAGTCTGAATAGTTTCACTTCCACCACGCTGCCCATTTCAGAGCTCAAGATTCACTCAGTCGTCACCCATCCATCATTTATTCATTCACTTGTGCAACATTGGTGTGTTTGCCATTCATTATACTCCAGAGATTCGTATCAGTATTCATGCTAGTATTAAACATGACACCAGATACCATACCCTTACCGGTCTTACCCTCTGGGTTACTAAGCTCTGCTGAACAGCCTCCCATCCTGGTGTCCCTCCACTGTCTTCCTTGCTCTTTCCTTCACTTAAATTCCTCTTCCATGAATATATTAGACCATTCGTAGAGAGCGTTAGTCTACTCAGAAAGGGAAGCTCAGATCTTCTGAGATAGGAACAGATCCTTTTCAGTGCGACTAGGAGGGAAATCCAGGCCCTTTTAAAATGAAAACTAAGTCAAGCATAGTGGCACATGCCCGTAACCACAGCTTTCTTGGTGGCAGAGACAGGATCGCAAGTTCAAGCCCAGCCTGGATAACTTAGCAATTTAGCAGTACTGTGTCTCAAAAAAGTAAACAAAGATAAAATTAAAAAGGGGTTTGAGGTGTCCTGGATTTATTCTCTGCTATCACAAAATTAAGTGGATAAATTAATAAATATATAGGCTGTTCTGTACTACTCTACACTGCCAAGTGGCTAGCATAAACATTTCCCTCAACCGGCTCAGTTTTCGTCAATTGCTTGGATTCTTCAGGAAATAAACTCATTGTCTTACTAAACATTTATCTGCCTGTTTCATGTTCCTTATTAAATATCTACTTTAACATTGGTTTGTTTGATATAAGTAGCTCTGTTAACCAGGGAAGGAATGCCGACTTCAATTTTGATAACTCTCCAGTTCCTGCTAACTGACTTCCTGCCTACCTTAGCAAGTTTAGGGAACTAAATTAAATCCACTAAACTGCTCTTCGCCTCAACACACTGCTTACCTTTTGGATTTACCTGTTTGTTCTAGGACTCAGACAGCTAGGGCTCCACTGCTATGGGAAAGAAGGCACCCTGGATAAATGCATTTGGTCTCTGGTCTACCAGTCAGTATAAAAACTGAATAGGAAAAGAGAATCCTTTAAGCAAAACAATTGCTAAAGTCTTCATTCTCCATCTCTAACTCCCCTTTCCAAGGTGTCTAGGGCAGGAGGTAAAGGATTCTGTGGAAGGAAGGGCAGACACAGGGAGTCTGATAGCCCCGAGCAGAAGGACCTTCAGCAGTGCCTCACTGACTGTACTGGTCATCTGGTGTGAGGGAAAAGATGCATATAGCAGAGAGTAGAAGAAAGGAGAGGTGGAACAGCCCAAAAGTGAGTGTTTCAGTTTGGTGGTTTGCTTCCTTCCACCTAGAAATTAAGGAACTGAATGTGTTCTATCTTGTAACTTCCACATCTCATTGAGCCTGGTATCGTTTGTTTTCCAGTGGAAGAAGGGGAACAAGATAATGAAGAAAACTCACCAGGCTCCTAAAGCCATAGGCCAGAAAAGATGCTGCTCACGTCTGTCTGTGTGTTCTGGTCCCGTGATTACATCTTGCTTCAACACGAGCTGAGCCAAGTCTCCAGAGAAATAGCTCCACCTTGTGGAAGGGCAAGCACACACGGTAGAGAATAGCGATGATCTCTGAGCTAGGAGAAAATATTTTAGTCCATGGACATTAATGCCGTTGAGACATAATTTCAGTGTTTTCATTGTGGTCTGAAGATTATTGCCTTCTAAGCAACTCTTACGTTTTGTTAAAACCACAGAATCAAGTGTTTATTCTTCAGTGTTCAGAACAGATAATGACCTTGGTGATAAACAAGCTCTAGTTTGGAAATCGTGAAGCAATATAACTGAGCAACACAATCCTTCATTTATTGTTTACATCATGTTCATGAAAGTGAAATAAGTAAAAAGTTTACAGTTAAGTCGCTCTCTAACTTAAAACTCAGACAGCAAATTTCAGAATGAATTCAAAGCCGCTTTTAGAAACTTCACCAGGCCGGTTAGGAACTGGTTTTAATGACATCTTCAGTTTTGGCTCTTCTTGTCTTCCATTGGTTCACTGCGCTTTATTTTTCTTTCTCTTTTCATTGCATTTTTCTTTCTTTACTGCCTCAGCCAATTCAAGAGGATTACATTGTCAGGACCTTTGTTGCTTCCAGGTCTATTTTTTTTTCCTCAAGGTTTAGGTTGTAATGTAAATATTATTTCTCAAGAAGTTTTCAGGGGCATCTTATATCACCTGAGTGGCTACCACAGTACAAAGTTATTTTCTAAATTCCGTCAAGGTAGACACTACTCTATCCTACTCATTGCTGTTTCTTAAGCACCTGAAATACAGCTACCTGGCATATAGTACACATTCAATAAACACTTAAGTATGAAACAGATTTTCAAAATATCTTTAATATGACATAAATTTTTTCATGGTTGGATGATCTGAAGAAAAGTCTTTTTGGTTAAAATGGGGCTTATACAAGCTATTACACAAAATTTATTTCAGGAAGTAAATGAAAATCATTGTGAAACAAATACAAGTTATCTGCATGTTAGCATTTAAGGATATGTGCAAGCATAAGAATGTACTTGTTTAAGAGCCTATTATATTTCTGTACATTATCTAGTGACAAAAGCAATTCCCTGAGGAATGCATAATGATGATTATGCGTTTCTTTAGATGTGGAAATTGTGACATTGAGTTTTCCAAGTCTTCAACTTATTTAGTGAATAAATCTAAAGAAGTGGAACCTAAGCCCAAGTCTTCAGGCCCCAAGGCCCGTGCTTCTTCCACGAAGGCGTTTCCTTTTGCAATGTATCCTATTTCCAGAATTGTCTCTTCACAATTGCTTCATTTCTGTGAAAAACATGTATCAAAACTTGTCACTTGTAAATGAACCAAATAACATATCGAAACACCAACCTAGTGAGACGACTGAAATGTGGGGTAGGATATTGAATTTTCAACCCTTTTTTGTGTTAGAGCACATTTTATAATAACCTAGATTTTGAAAAAGGATACTATAAAGAAACAATGACACCTTGTGGTGACTATTTTTTATGTCAGGAAGCATCCAGCCGCCTTAGAAAACGTTTGTAAGTGTTCTAATGGATTTATTTTAGCCATTGCATAAAATTGAAATTTGTAGGCATGGAAAGTACTATAACACTCTATTAAACACAATGAAGACAACTAAAGTCACAGAAGCAGTACTAAATTTATGATTAGGGATCTCCTCAAGATTCTGAGCAACAAAGTTCTACTGTCCTGTGCCTTAATATGTATTATTTTTCTAAAATGGTAAGGCGGATCATATTTACTCTGTGCCTCCTCTGCTATTTGAAAGTGTTGGAGTCCAAATGAATACCATTTGACAGAGGTCTTGGGTGAAAAAAGAGAGTGGCATTTGAGATGGACACTATATTTATTTCTCATTCTTTCTGTCCTGATCAAGGAACATGACATGACTCTCAAATTGAGTAGAAGAATTCAATTAAGAATTGAATGAAGAATGTAACTATAAGATGACTTTCACATTTGTTAAAGCAAGTTTGAGGGCTTTTCTAAAGTTGAATGATATTATTTATGAGAGATAGTCTAATCTCCTGTAACAGGAATGAACACTCTGGCATTTACCCATGTTTCTCTTGTCTTTTCTGATGGAAAACTTGCAATTATTTAATTCTTTCCTACTGTCTGTGAGATGAATCAAGATATGGAGACATCATTTCCAGGAAGATAATATGGGGAAGGAGGAAATTTGTGTACCCTAAGAATATCTTCTTTTAAGCTTACCTGAAAATATTTCTAGTTTGTTTTGTGGGTATCTAACATAATCCTGCCAATTTAATGCCTGACCTTATAGTGTGCCATGTCATCATTTGATCTTTCTTAAGCTGAGAGTAGCGTGGGTGCACTTAATATGAAGTGCACCTAATACTTTGCTCCATGGGAGGTAGCAAAAGGAGTCACAAAGCATTTCACTTTGAAGTAATCATCCTACTACACAAAACATAGCAGCTCGCTATGACTAGTTATTTCCACGACTATGTAAGCCTTTGAAATTTGGAGGATCCTTGACTGTGAGAAACCCAGCCTAGGCAGTGTACTGCAGACTGGATAGGAAATAGAAGCCTGACTCGACATTATTCTGACAGGCAGAACTGATTCTTTTCTTGATGTCTTGAAATTCTAACACATTCTGGTGAAAATAACCTAAGGAACATGTAATTCATTAACAAAATGTAGTATATAGTTTTGACTGGTCCTACATTGGAAGAAAAATTGATTTTTTTATTAACAGTTAGAGATTATAAAATAATAATCTATCTGATGTGATAAACCATGGTAGGTTAGGGAGAATTCAATATCTTGTAATTAGAAGACCTGGTTTGAGCCCTGTTTCCAGATTAAGACTTTGCAAAGCTTGAGGATTTCAGTTTTCTTTTTGTGTAACAAGGACAGTTTGGAGAGTCTGATGTCATAGGGTCCTTGAGAGGATCAGTTGGGATACTGTATGTGGAAATGATTCTTCACTAATCACGAGCTAATAAAAATGTCACTGCTTTCACCACCTTTGCTCAAATCCTTCCCCTGACTCTTTTCCTATTGCTACCTTTTAAGAAATTATTTTCTATAATGTTTCAACTACACAAGCTCACATAAAATTATGCAATTTGTTTAAAATCCCTCCTAAATCCGGAAAGAATGGCATTTCTGCATTTCTTTTTGTTTTCACTACGGAAAACAATTCCTTTTGCTGATTGGCCAGTTTGGATTCCTGTTTTTCAGTTCACACATCCTTGAACGTTGTCATATCGCCCTCTGCTGGAACTCTCGTAGGTTGCCACTAAAAACTGTGTATTAAACCAGAATAAAACAAACATGTTTTAAATCTTGTTGGCTACAAACTGTTATAAGTTTTACTTGAAATAGTTACTTTCTTCATATATTGTGATAGATATATGATAGACTAAGATACTATGCAGTATTTAAAGCAAGGAGAAAGCTCTGAAATGAAAGTACAAAATGTGTTTCAACAGCCAACACTAAAGGTGTACAACAATGCTAGGGTATTACCGTTTTCATTTAACTACAAAATATATGTGTACATGTGTATATTTTCACGTATTTGGATAGATGATATTGCTCATGTTGACATTTTAATTCTTAATGGAAATTTCTTGAAGAAGGTGAGAATTTATTATTGTTAAAATTTTCTCCATTTACATTGTTTGAACCTCTAATCTTGCACACATGTAATCTTATTTGACTTTATTGTGAATGTCAGTAGGGTTTAGGTGGATGGGGAGAATTTGGAGCCATTCATTTCTTTTATATTTGTCCAGGTTAAAATTTATAAATTTTATTATCGAAAGTCCAATAAATTCTTCTTTATGCCATGTCATGACATTATTTCTATATTTGCTTTACACTAGATTAATTTGATTCTTGTATTGTTACTATGGCAATACAAACCGAAATTTCTAGAGGAAAACTAATTTCAAGTGTTCTGCCCTTTGGCACCCAAATATGTACTTTTGGCACTATGAAATTCTTTCTTTGAATAATAGTATGTAGTTCATATTAGAAGGCTTTGTAGTAGCAGTGTGACTTTTAGAAAAATTAGTTAATATCTATCTGTATAAAGAATATAATGCTGAGTATCTTGAAGCATGGTTATGAAGCTTATAGACCACAAAGTCCATAGAAATGCCTCTTAATGAGGTGTGTGTGTCTGTGTGTGCGTGTGTGTGTGTGTGTAACGTGTTATTCATCATGTTCTCAAAAGCTAACAGAATACTTTATAGATATATTAGTAATAGTAAATTTTCAAGTAAATTATGAAAGAATTATAAGAAAAATAAGATGTAAGAAGCTAAGATATGAAAGTGATTCAAAGATTAAAGTTGACTCAAAATTTGAATTTTGTTTTCAAAATATGGATTTTGGGCCCCAGATATTTTCTATCTAAGACTAAGAAATATTTTGACAGAAATATTTGCTTATTTGTGTCTTTTGCTAAATAATTGTTATAATCATTCCTAACAGTGCATATGTTCTTATCTTCACTCCTGGACACAAAACAGAGTAATGCATTTAAACAGGTCCAGATGTGCACCTTGATTTCTGCGTTGTAGCGTAACTGAATAATATCATCCAAGAAAAGCCTGGCTTATTTACCTTTGCATTCTAATATCCATAATAGAAGCAATTCATTTAAATGTAATTAATAACCACAGTGCCTTGAACTTTCAGAAAGTTTTATAATTCCCTTTTTCTTTTTTCTGCTAATACACGGAGAAATCAAATTAACTTGCAGTGCAGGGAGCACAAAATAGGCCATGAGAAAGTAAAGTAGAAACTGAGAACAAACTGCTAAAATAAAGAAAGGAAAGTCTTCATATTAAACAAGTATTCAAAATGTGTGGATTTTCCGCAACTGGAAATGTACTGAGGAAGTAAGCCGACACAATGGAGAGACTGTGAAATATCTGAAGAGTGCTGCTATAAAACAAACCTGCAAACCCCCTCTAAGATAGCTGTACTGAGGTGGCTGGCATATTTCTGTGACATATTGCCC